AAGATTTTCGGGTTGGCATTGACGCCGACGAAGATGACGATCACGATGCCGAGTGTAAAACTGGTGATTGGATCTACTGTAGATCGTGGTAGATAATTTCAGTGTTGCATGATCAGAGGTGCCAATAGGGGAACGACAGCGCAAGTTAAGTAAATTCAGGTCGTTAATGAAACACATAGATCAGTGTGTTAAGTACATCATGTATATTGTATCATAGAGGTCCCCTTCTGGGGTTTGCGGAGATGGAGTAATTTCTGTGACTGGGTGTATTCAGCCCATGTTTTACTTGTGTTCTATCCAGTTATATGGTTCATGACTTTCCCGGGTGATTAATATTTCAATCTATTACTATCAAACCGCACCAAATTCATTCATACAAACTGTTTGCAGTTAGCTAATGACTGATTAAGTTGAATCGTGCGCTCTTCTACCCTGATCTATATTTAAATGGATGCACCTGCTCGCCTAGTTCACCAGACTGTTCCCATCGCCAGACGAGATAATCCATTCAGTGCGTGTCATGTGGCCATATTGCAATGTTTTATCCGTGTTAGTCTTATGTCAATCCTTTCACTTGCGGGATTCTGTGTGCACTCTTTCCTTTCCTAAATGCTCATCTCAAGAGTTTGCATCCAGACAAGTTCAAAGGTGATTGTCAAGCGCTTTAAGTTCATGCACCTGGTTCGCAATTCTCATGGTTTGAGTCGTGCGACCACGATGCAATTTTGTTGATAGTCGTGTTCACTGTTGACTGGCTGGATCACCACGCACCTGCACCATCCTGTTTTGGCGTAATTTGTGGTTCTGCATTCGAACTCGCCAATCCTATGTTGTGGATTACTATCAGCTCCTTTGAGAGTTCCTCTTTTCACGACAGCTGAGTGTTATAAACAGGACCGCTTGTGCATTTGCCCGATTCCTTCGCAATACTAGCCTGTCTGATTCTCTATCTTCACCTCGGCATTACTTCTCGATTTCTAGTTCTTCCCTCTACTCCTTTATCCCAATAGACTATCCAAAACAGTGACCAAAACCGCCCCACAAAAGTATAAGGTTAGTGACTGTATGAACTCAACTGAACATGATGCTCCCGTGAATATGGGGTCATCTCTTTCACCATTCACCACAAATGAATGTGCAATGTTTTATTCAGCATCTCGTGTGAAATACATAACAGTCATAATGCTAAATTAGGAAATATCGATGGTAGTATCACTTTGAATTCAGGAAATACAGCTCCACAGGTTTTGCTAAACTGTCTGGTCTTTGAAGTGATTCATGCCCTCACTTCATCATCACCGAAGCACAGTTACTGTCTACCAAACCCTATCAAGCCTTCCACTCTCAAATACTGGCAGTCACTGAGTTCACTGATCAATACATAAAGCCTTTATCGCTGGATGCGGCTTCATAAAGCGCATCACTAGGGTTCTGCATGCTTCCTCGAACTGCTAGATACTCATCGGAACATCCCTCTAGGAACTGAGCATAACCAAGCTCGTACGATCGTCAGCGCGGAACTAAGACGCTTTCTAAAAGAGGACCACTATACCTGGTGGGTACAACGCGCTTCCAAAGTGAAACAAAATCCCACCTGCGGTAATGCTCACAAACTTTTTCCTCTCGTTCGAACCACCGGTACTGAAGATCATGCTTTGATGAGATCATATGCAAGGATAGTGGTAAACTCATCCACAATGTACAGCGTTGTTTTGAACGCTTGGCGAGCACTTTAAACAACAATTCAGTTAATCACCAACGCCGCTGCTTTCACCACCTAGTCCACGTAGTGCCTCATGAACTAGAAATATTTCATCGCCCGCCGGAGGTATAGTCTTTATTTCCTCCTGTCGCTTTCCCTTCTTATTCCAACGCGTATTCTTGGATGCATGCCTCCATCGCTGTTCACCGTATCGTTGTCTCACTGAGGCATTTGATACAACGCCAATGGCATGAGCGTATCACGCTGTTACTGCTCCCCCCCCCCCTGGTTGGCAACTATCCGGGGATAGGGGAAATAGTGAACCACAGTCAAACTTTAAAAACGCAGTCGGTTAACACTCTGTCCTACTGCACCATTCAACTTTTGCCGGTTCTAATGTCTCTATCAACCGTCTCGCTCAACTTGACTAAAATGCTTCTCCAGTTGGCATAACCTCTATTCCAATTCACTCACCAAGTAGAAATATGCTGAGCTCCTTGTTCTCTGATTGACAGTCCAAGAGTATATATCTATATTCGGATCACCCACCGTTTTCACCTCATGTGCATCGATCGACTGACACTCAAGAACTACGAGTTTTGCCGTGACATGTGAGAAAACATTACCTCAGTGCACAAGGTACACTAAATGTTCGCGATTGTGCTACACAAGTTCACTTCAATTTAAAGGCGGTCGAACTTAAATCTGTGCTTTTTGCTGACTACATAGTTATGGCTTGAAAAAGGATCACGAGTGCAATCAGAACCGGTTTCACTAAACACTGTGAGCGGTCAATGTTTAACACTCAACTAGTACGCACGCGCATAGTTTAAATAGTAGTCTTTAAAAGTCAGTCCCCATTGCCAATATCCGGCCCCGATAACAAGTTCTGTTGCATCTCTTCAGTATGCTGCGATCTGAGGCCAACCCCTTGAAATATGCTTCGGTTAGAAACATTTGTCTATTGGATTCATTAGGCCCGATTGCTACGGTACTTAAGGAACATATTTCATTCTTAAATGGTGATAATGTTCGCGCTGCTGAGTGGCACCCTCCCTATGTAATTTCGAACATTTTCTGAAACTGTTATCTCGTACCAGTTGCGTGAATTGATTGAATGACAGTCAACATGGTTCTTGTCCTCGTTGTCATACGGACGACCTACTGGCTCCCTTCTCACGTTCT